AACATAAACAATTACAATATATATTTTTGAAAGCATTCTTACTTTACAGCATTTTTTCACAGCTGCCTCAAACTTTTGCACAGTACTGTATGTGAATAACAGCATTGTAGTACAGTGTCTTATCTGATTTATTAAAAAAAATGTTAAGCTTATTTGTCCTGATTCAATTAAAAAAGTCATTTGAAAATCAAGTATTACATTTCTGGAAGCATTTCAAAAGATATAAAGCTAAGACACATTGTATTCTACATTATAATGGTGCAAAATACAGATTTTTATCATTTAATAGCCATAAAGGTGTCTTGAATTGCTTTAGTATTCCTCTGAGAGCTCCTTATTCACTGGCTCTGTGATGAGAAATAGCCAAATATGAGCACTAAAATGATCAGCTGATCTGTGTGGTGCATGATTTATATACCGTTCTGGGAAGCAATTCAAGTCTGAACCTGTGTGTGTGATGATTTGTGAGTTGTGTGTATGATGAATGAGTGTATGAGTGTAGTCTGAGGGTAGGGGACTTTGTTGAAAGGAGGGGGGGCAGCAAGAATGAGACTGACTGTTTTGAGCAATGATGAACCTGACATGTACTGACAGTTGAATACATGGAGGTTTCTACACTTGAACTGAGCTCAGAATGAAATACGTTTTGATTTCAGACACTTGTGATTATGTAATCAGTAGTCATACTAATGTATAAATACTCTCGTCCTAGGTAACACTTTCACATGCTTGGTCCCCTGGTTTGTTACCGGCAACAGCTTGTACACAGCAGGTAGCTAATGGCTATTTTTCTTCAACAACTCCCTCTGCTGCCAACTTCATAAAAAATTACAACCCAGACAGTAATCTTGGTGGTACAGGTAAGTTTTGTGGCAAGCTCAAAGTAAAATGATCTGGCCTCTCTTTTATATTTTACTTGAATATAAAAAGGTAGGATGAGCTAGAACTTATGTTTTGTGTAGTCCTATCTGATATGAAACACTCTGCCCAGTTCTTGCAAATGGAAGCATTTGTTTTTCTTGACTTGAATAAAGTTGGGAATTATTTGTAATTACCTTACAGAGTCATGTTCAACCAGGCCACGGTCCAGCTTTTTCTGCTTTCCAGCAAAGGAGGACTCAACTTCTGCTTCATTTCTACAAAAACCTTCTCAAACTCTTCCCAATTCTTGCCTCTCTTTTCAAGAAAAGGATTCTGATGGAAGCAAAATCCAGCAAATAATAGACAAATATAGAAGAGATTTCCGCTGGTCATCTCTGAGTAGTGTATCTTCTTTCCATGGTAATGTAATTAAAAGATAATAAATGGAATATTCAAAAGTATTCAAAAAAACCCTGGCTCCCCATTAAGTGTTTCCCATGTAATATACTATTTCTACTACATTGTTCTGATGTTCCATGTACCAGTGGTATAGATTATTTCCAGCACTAAACTTTTCTTTGGCCTCTTGGTTGGACAACAGTTGGACCACCTTCTGACTTTAATTCAGCCACATCATAGGACCGGTGCCATTCATATTTGCCCTGTTTCCCCCAGTAGCTTGTTGGATATCTTCTGACAAGAGGGTTCATCTTCCAGTATCATACTAACATTGTCCTGGATGTGAATGTCCATCTTGTTTTCTTGGTGGAATGCTGGAGGAGGTTGCCATTTCCTTTTCTAGTGCATTATATTATATCTGACCATCATCCATAACTTGGTCATCCAAGGTTTATGTAGTCTCCATGGTGTAACTCATTGTCATTGGGATGTGCAGATTCCTTCCCTACTACAAGTTAACTATCCACAAACGTAAATGCTGAAATAAACTTGTGTGGTACTGCCTGAAATTCCATTTCATTTGTTCTAGATCCAACTGTTGGGCTTGATACTACTGATATTGAGAGAAATTTTCCAAATTTCCACCGTGAACTTTTTCAGCCTTTGAAACCGAATTCTGACTTTGATATCTCCTCAGCTCTTTCTCAGTGTAGAATATCTCACAACAGCAAAGACTTAAGCAAGGTAATTTTGAATGGAGGAAAATTGAGAACTATTAATCCTCTCCTGAAAAGCTAGCTCTAGCATAATGATCTTACATTATGGCAAATAGGTAACTAAAGCTAGTTCTAGCATAATGATCTTACATTATGGCAAATAGGTAACTAAGGTTGTGACACTTCTGTCCAGTCATACTTAGAAATCCATAAACAGAATGTATATAAACAATTGCAGTATATCTCCAGCATGGAAATCTCTTGACAAAGAGTGCCTGTGTCAACATTCAGAATACAACACAGAATAAAGGAATGAGTCACTATGACCCCTGGGTAGACAGTTTACAACATAAAAATGCAAAAATAATTATAGAGAGAGATCTGGGTCAGGCTAGGAAACATTCAGTATCCCTTGGTGGTGATAGGCTAACTGCATCTGAGGCCTTCTCCTGTGATTGAGATTCAGTGCTATTCAGCTAATGATCCAGGTTCAGGTTCCTGCCATACATTATAAACTTTCCCATGTGAAAGACTGGTTTGACAATATTGTAACCAGTTTTCTTCTCCATTAGGTTAACTTGACATATGGGTGGCATACAAGTTTAATAAATTATTAACATTAATATTATGTTATCTGCAAATGGAACGTCTCTGTTGATGAGATGGCGTTAATTAAAAACTATTTTTATTCTTGAATATTTTCCATCTAACTTACTGTTCTCTGGCTGGAGGATAGAGGTACCTATTTGGTTTTTTTGTATAGATGTAACTTATGTCATAAGGCTGTACATAACATGTGTTGTACAATGGACTAACAGTTTTGTTCCTGCATGATAGAGTTTCAAAACTGTTCTGCCACCATTTCAATCCCAGCTGTTGTTTACTGTAGATTCAACCAAATTATTGGTAGAACTAGAGCTCCATATGTTAAGATAAGAAAAATCCAAATGTTTTTAGCCACCTCTTATAAAATTAAGTTTTCATGCTACACTTTGATTCCCCACTCATGCATTTTTATTCTGTAGGTTTCAGATTTAACTAAGAGTCAAGATGTAACAGCTTCTACCTTAGAAGAAGGAAGCAACAGTATTTTATTTCTTAGCAGAGGAAAACTAAGCAGTTCTCAGCTGAAGGAACAGAGTGATGAGAGGATAAACCAGCCAATGCAAGGTAATTGTTTAGCCATTTGGTAGTGGGGAAAAATCTTTTTAAAAATAAAAATTTCCTTTATTAACAAATGGGGGAATCTTTGAATAGCGGCTGACCTATTTCTATTAAACGTTGAAGTTTAGGTTTGAAAGGTTCAGTTTGATTTTTGCTTCTCTGATTTAGAAATTGAGTAATTGATTTTTCTCAGCAGATTTTACAGTAAAGATACTGCTAAGCAAGATAGAAAAGGCATTTGATAAGCCACTTACCAGCTGTGTTGACTGTTTTGTTTGCATCTCATAGTTTCTGCGACATTTGCATCTGGTATTGAGAAATAACCTTAGAAAAAAAGTTTTTCAGTGAGGAATTATAGTTTAGGAGTAGAGTGATTTTTTGCATAGAGTCATTATGTAGCATCTCAAAGGTTCAAGTAACTAATGATGGGAAGGGCCTCTGTCTGAGAATCTGGAATGAAACTGCCATCTGGGTTAGATGAGCAGATGGTCTGACTTGGTAGAAGGCGACTTTCTTTATTTTTAATATGAGTAACACTCGCCCCTTCTCAGCTTCAATCCTCTAAAATTCAGTAGTGTTCTGAATTTTACTGTACTTAACCTCACATTAAATTGTAAACAATTTTCTGCCACTTCTCAGCTTTTCAACCAGTTGCTGAAGAATTGTCTGAACACCTGCCTCTGGAAACTACCTTGCACAAGAGTTTTGGTAAACCTGGAGCCTTTCATTTCAAGCCTGAACAAAACCTTGAACTAAGCAGACCTATTGAGAACAGTGTAATTATTTCACCTGAGACTGTACCATGTGAGGAGCTGCAAGATGACAGCGAGTCTCGTTTTTTCTGTTCTTCCGTTGAAAATTTTTGCAGTCTTAGTCCAGTTGAAGATCAAACCTCCATTTACCAGGTGATTCCAGGTTTTGGCACAAGGAAAAATACTCATGGGAGGACAGTATCAGCAAAAGAGGAGACTAACTCAAGAGCAGAGGGTCTCTGCTTTGTTGAACTAGCTATGACATCATCCGACAAGAACAGTGAAATGGTGACCAGGAACAGACTGATAAATGAGGATGTAGAAACTGACCTCGCACAGCATACTTTAAATTCCACGCAAGAACAGAGTTTTCTAAGATCAAAGGTAATGCTGAATTGGCCTCAAGAAATTAACTCCAGTATCTCTGGCAGTCCCTTGCAGAATTCTGTACAAGAAAGTATCAGTCGGCTTGCAGTGTTTCCACAACCAAATATGGATATCATCCAGGCTAGAAGCTTAGATTCCCGTTTGTCACAGTGCGATATACCTGTTTGGGTAAGTGAATGAAATGGAAACTCCTGGATTAAATTGAAGCTGTTCTGTTTAGGGGGGATTTTTTAAATATAATCCTTATTAAAAGATTTTTTTAAAAGGCAGATAAAAACTAATATAAATTAAGAGAAAAGAAAAGGAAAGAAATCAAAGAGAAAGCTAAAAGTGCAATAAAGGAAAAATAGAAAAAGATACAAAGATACAAAGAAGTAGCTTCCGATCTTCTTTGCAGCAGTTATAAGTACAATCATAAACTTACCTCTTATTCTATGGTTACAACATAATTCTCCTTTCTATAATCTGTCCTGTCCAATCATCAAAACCATAAATTATAAATTCATTTTTTTCTATTTCATGCAAAAAGTCTATAAGTGGTTTCCAATCAACAATAAACGTAGATATTGTCTTTTCTCTGATCAAAGAAATCAATTTAGCCATCTCAGCAAGTTCCATCATTTTCACCAACCATTCCTCCATTGTGGGTAATGCCAGATCTTTCCATCTTTGTGCATGCAACAATCTCGCTGCAATTATCATATACAAAAATAAAGTTCCATAACTTTTTTCCAGCTATTTTTCCATCAGTCCCAAAAGAAAAATCTCTGGTCTCAATTGTATATTCATCTTTAAAATCCTCTGAATCAGTGTATGTATTTAAATCCAGAATTTTCTAGCTTTTTTACACATCCACCAAACATTAAATAATGTCCCTACTTGCTGTTCACATTTCCAACATAAATCTAAAGTGCTTTTATAGTTCCATAACTTTTTTCCAGCTATTTTTCCATCAGTCCCAAAAGAAAAATCTCTGGTCTCAATTGTATATTCATCTTTAAAATCCTCTGAATCAGTGTATGTATTTAAATCCAGAATTTTCTAGCTTTTTTACACATCCACCAAACATTAAATAATGTCCCTACTTGCTGTTCACATTTCCAACATAAATCTAAAGTGCTTTTATACATCCTAGACAATTTATCTAGTGACATAATACCAACGAGATATCATTTTATAAAAGCTCTTTAAGATTATAACATAGTGTCAGTTTCAATCCTTTCAGCCACATATTTTCCCATTGTTCCATCTGTATATCATAACCAACATTTTTATCACATTTTATCATAGGCTCACTTGTTCTTCTTTTTCAAATTTCAATAAAAGTTTATACATTTTAGCAAATATTCATCAATTCTATTTCAAAGTCTGTCTTACAGTGTTCAAAACCATAAATTCTTTTGTCTACTTTAAATCTGTCTACTTTAAATTTGTCTACTTTAAATCTAAATAACTGTAAATAAGAGAACGATTGACAACTATATCCTTCTGCCACCAGTTCTCTTGGTTTTAATTTACATTCTCCTTGACAAAATTCTAGTATCTCATGATAAGTTAGCCATTTGTGTTTGCTTATTATTTCTTGTCTATTAAATGCTTCTGATGCTAAGAGCCGCAGAATCGTTTTCGAGCACAACCTGGGTTTGTATCTGTTCCATATTTTCAATATGGTACGTCTAACATAATGATTTTAAAATCTGCATTAACCTTGACTTTATTGTGCCAAATATCCATGCTACCCAAATCTCAGGTCATGTCCTTCTAACTCCAAAAGCCTTCTATTCCTCAGCAGCACCCACTCTTTCATCCAAACCAAACAGCAAGCTGCAAAATACAATTTAAAATTAAGTAAACACAATCCTCCTCTTTCCTTTGCATCTATTTCAGCCTGCCCCACTCAGTCCAGCAGAAGGGGCAGGTTGCA